GCCAGTAATGGTTTTCCTGAGCACCCTTTCTAAACCATTCCCCATCTTCCCCCAGGATACACTGATCTCTATTATATCTCACTCACCATATATTCAATAAATATCTATGGAATGCATGTTTGTTTTTACTTATATTCTCCCATGGAGGCATCATGACAGTCTAATATGGTAAGTGTTGTTATCCTCATTATACAGCTTTTAAAAAGCAGTTAAGTTAATTAAGAGATTCCAAAGGGTCACACAGGTAGTAAATGCAGAGCCAGGTTTCAAATCCAGCTTTATCTGACCTCAGCCTACTGTGCTTTCTGCATAACACCACTTGGAACATATAACATATGTGACATTTACATCTCATGTTGACCCCTTGACTTTGTCAACTTTGTCTTATTTCTCACAGCAACTCTAATTTTTCATCTGGAAAAATGGGATGATAATAATATTAGTACTCATTTCTTTTTCTTTTCCCTTTTTTTTTTTTTTTTTTTTTTTCCCGAGGTGGGGTCTTGCTCTGTTGCCAGGCTGGAGTACAGTGGTACAACCTCTGCTGGCTGCAACCTCCACTTCCTGGGCTCTAGTGATTCTCCTTCCTCAGCCTCCCAAGTAGCTGGGACTACAGGTGCACACCAACATGCCCAGCTACTTTTTGTATTTTTAGTAGAGACAAGGTTTCACCATGTTGGCCAGGATGGTCTCAATCCCTTGACCTTGTGATCCGCCCACCTCAGCCTCCCAAAGCACTGGAATTACAGGTGTGAACCGCCATACCTAGTCCCCCTCTCTTTTTTTCTTTTCTTTTTTTTGGAGATGGAGTTTCCCTCTGTCGCCCAGGCTGGAGTGCAGTGGCGCCGTCTTGGCTCACTGCAACCTCTGCCTCCCGGGTTCAAGCAATTATCTTGCCTCAGCCTTCTGAGTAGCTGGGACTGTAGGTGCATGCCACCACGCCCGGCTAAATTTTTGTGTTATTTTAGTAGAGACAGGGTTTCACCATGTTGCCAGGCTGGTCTCAAACTCCTGAGCTCAGACAACCCGCCTGCCTCTGCCTCCCAAACTGCTAGGATTATAGGCATGAGCCACCACACCCAGCCAGTAGTACCCATTTAATAAGATTTTTATGATGATTAAATGAGCCAATACATTGAAAGAACCTGGATTCATTAGGTTCGTATTATTATTATTATGCCCTTTTTGCAGTTGAAAAAAATTACTCAGAGAGTTTATTTTCTCAATATCATATAGCTAGTAGGTGGAAGGGTAAAGATTAGAATCCAGATGTGTCCAACTCTCAGTTAAAGGCTTTTGCTGGTTTCTCAGGCTGCTTCTGAATACCTCAGCCTCCAGGAATGGCTTTTGATAGACATTTTGGGCTTTGGTACAGAGTGACATAGGTAAGGATTTAGTGGGAGGAATATGTTAGGTTTTCACTGCGTCATTCACTACAGTGATTTGGACCTGTGAGGGACTAAGAGTACAGAAGGGGGCACATCATCATCTCTGTGAGGGTATATGTAGCTTTTAGGGCACCCTCTCCATAAGAATCACTGAGTGTAAGGTGTGAGTTTGTGGTAGTGTGTTGTGTGTATGAAGAGTATGGGGGCAGCAAAAAGGTAGATGAACACTGAGGTAGGCCTCCATACTTTTCTCTACACCCAAAGACCAGCCTTGCCAACAGTATTTCCAAGGTACTGTACAGCCGACTTTCCATGATTTCTACAGTCTGCTCTTGGCTTGGTTTATCTATGATGTCTCTGGCATCTACATCTTCCCTCAGGGAGTTTATATGCTATGGACAAGAGGGATTAATTATGTTTCTGCCTTCAGTATGGCTAAATAAGCTCCTACTGAGCCTATGGGACACTATTAAGCAGACCAACATCATCATAAATGAAAGCTCCAGCAGGATGTGAGAGAGAGAAAGGGGCACAAAGAATATCTGAAGAAATACCAGCCAAAAATATCCCAAACTTGATGAAATATGTGAATCTACATATCCAAGAACAAACTCCAAATAAACTCAGATACCTATTTTCTGATGCTATGGTTGATGCATATTCTTTGGCTATAGTATAGCACCCTTTCTCTAGATAAAATCTTGTGTATAAACTTAGTACCTGGAAAGAGCAAATAAGAGTGCTCTATTCCAGTTCTTTATCTCCTGATGCGACTCATGGTCAAAACTTGACCCTGGTGTATGCAAAGCTGATATCTCAAGATCATGTTTTCTGCACCTATAGTAGGTATAACTTTGCTTTACAGGATCCACAACCTTCCACTCAAAGCAACATGTACTTTTGGGACTTCAGGCTGGAGATGGATGTGATCTCTGGCTGGAGAAAAGTGAAGAGTGGGCCTCCAATCCACAACCAAGGAGCCTCAGCAGGGGCTCATTAGTGGGTGTCAGCTATTTCTCTTTGCTTTCATTCTTGAACTACCAGATGATGGGCCATGACCCATTATCTGTAAATCCAATAATTCACAAAACTAAAAGTTTTCATAAGTTTACCACCAAAATTCGTTAGGTAGCAAAATTTGACCTGAACGAACCTAAGGCTGTTTATGTTCTTCAACCTATTTATATGAATATTCATTTTGATATAGAAATACTCATGTGTTTGTAACACCTACCAGGAGTATTATAGACCATGTATATATACCATATTACCTTTCTAAAATCTCTCAAATAATGAATTTCAGAAAACATCAGCCTATAAGGGTTTTATATGAGGAATTTTGGATATGTATTTCTTCCGCTCCTTGGTATCTCATTCTAATGCACCTTTCTCACTTTATTTCACACCTGGCAACATCTGCCAAGGTCAGGGAATGGGAAAACTGAATGCTTTTGCAGTAAAGCTTCATATCATTAAATAATGATGAGTTGAATTTGTATGACAGGACAAAGTGCTAAGAAAAATATCTTCATGTTTTTCTTCCATCGTAGGTTCAGATCCAAAAACATATTCTCCCATACCATATTAACAAACTCTCCAAGGTTCTCCACCTAAAGATCCAGCTGAAAACAGGGGCTGGATGCTAACCTCAAAACCTGTTACTCCTCCTCCTCCTCCTTCTATTACTGCTATAGTGACATTGAATACAACTTGCCAAGTTCTTGTTCTAGGGCTTAGAATCCAAGCTCTTTCAATATATTGGCTCATTTAATCATCATAACAGTCTTATGAAATGGATAGTATTATAATTACCATCCAAACTTTACAGATGAAAAAAATGGAGCAAGAGAGATGAAGTCATGTATTCAAATCCATACACCTAAGAATTAGCCAGACAAGAATTTTGATGTACCTTGTGCTTCCTTTGCCTCGACACTTTCTTTTGAAATTGGCTTATGGCATAACCTAATGGGCTTATAGATAGTGGGGGAAGTATGATGGGCTATGGGTCTGAGAAACCAACCACCCATCTTCCCCTGCCAGGATCCAACAAGGCTAAGCTATTTTCATACCCATTTTTTTCTATGGAGCCTGGAATGTGGAATTCATTATGCAAATTTATTAATGTGATGATTTGGCTGGAAAAACAGATAATATGGTAACGTCCCCCCCGCAGTGATCTGTAAGGACTACTCTGATGTAAAATATGTGTTGATGAGTATGCTTTTTATGTATACGCATGGGCATACATTCGCATGCATGATTCTGTGTCAGTCAGCATTATGTGTTAAGTATAATACACTGGTTCTCAAGCTTTAGTCTCATCTCAGATACCTGGGTAAAATCACAAATATTCCTGGGTCCTGTGCTCAGAGATTCTGATTCAGTTCAGCTGGGGTGGGACACAACAGTTTGTTACTTGCACCTGAGGTGATTCTAATACAGGTGGTCTGTGCAGACCACATTTTAAGAACTATGGGATCATGGTTTAGAGCAGGCTCTGGAGCCAGGCTGCTAGTGAGTGGTTTAATTTTAGGCTTAGGCAAATCAACTTGGCTGTGTTAATATCAGTTTACTCATTTTTGAAAATGAATAATAATACTACCTGCCTCATGAGGTTGCTGTGGGGATTAAATGACGCACATTTATTTAAAGCGTGTCTCATTTGATATGCCTAACCCATCATAAGTGATCAGTGAATAGTAGCTACACTAGTCACATAGACCACAAGGATAATGGCAACCATAATGGTGCTCCCCGTTCCTATCCCAGTCCCAGAATTATGCAGCACAGATGCCCTGAGTGCATGCTAGGGAATAGTGAAGTGGTGTGGAGAGGCCAACTCCTGAGGGGCTGCAAGGACCAGGAATTTTGGTTTAACCTACAGCCTCACTCCTTGAAAAGGATTTAAAGAACATAGAAAGCAAAATGTGGAAGGGTTTGCAGATGGTAGGTTTGGGAGTGCTCAGCCTGCTTCAGGCCTTTAGGGCAACTGGTCACACACCACTATGTTCACAATCTGGCCCCCAGCTGGCATTCGGGACTGGAAGAACTATGGATCCTGTGTTTGAGGAAAACTTGAGGTGGAGTGCTGCTCATTGGCCTTCTGCCATTAAGAAGCTATATAAAGAGAAATACAAATCAAGTAGAAATCATGGTGTCTGCCCTCAAGGGGCCTAGAGTCTTTGGAAGAAATAAATGTTGTTACTTTAAGCAAGTCCCATCGACTCTCTAGGTTGAAGCTTTGTCTGTAAAATGGTGGCTTGTACTTAAACTTGTACTTTGAACGTGTTACATTTCTCATCCTCCTAGAAATAAGCAAGCATTAAGTCACAGAAAGGAGTGCATGATGACACAGTGTGGTGAAGTGAGGCAGTATCACTTGGGCCAGCCTGCAAAGCTGCTGTAGGGTGCAATGACTGGAGCTACTGCCGGGAAGGAAGAGGGGAAATGGGATTGTGTCAAAGGCCTTAGCCCTCTTTTTGGTGCCAAAAATTGCTCACTTTGATACCTACCTTGAGCCAGATATACAACAGATATGCCACATGTTGGCTTTTGTTGATACCCCTCGATTCATTCATCACCAGCCTTCCTGCTGCTCACTGATTTCAGGTGAAAGTGGGGATTAATCAACAAGGACATCTTGGAGGAGGATGTTGCAGATCCCGTAATGTGCCAGAATGAATTTTAAGTTGGAAGCTGGAGACTGAAATGACTGAGAGCCAGGACAGGTTAGCCTCCTAAAATACCCTGTCTGGAGTGCTTCACTGTGGCTAAGGGTTGCTAATAAGATAAATGTAGCACTAAAGCTATAAAATTAAAGATAGTACTTGCTATATGCTAGGTGCTGTTCGAAGTACTTTACAAGGAATAACTCATTTTTTTCTTATTATAAACATAATAGCAACTATTATTATTTTCTTTAAAAGTTGTGGAAACTGAAGCATATTAAGCACTCTCTAGCCACCTCTTTTTATCAGATTTTTTTTTTTTTTTAATTTGAGATGGAGTCTCGCTCTGTTGCCCAGGCTGGAGTGCAGTGGTGTGATCTTGGCTTACTGAAACCTCTGCCTCCTGGGTTCAAGTGATTTTCCTGCCTCAGCCTCCCGAGTAGCTGGGATTATAGGTGTCTGCCACCACACCCGGCTAATTTTTGTATTTTTGGTAGAGACAGAGTTTCACCGTGTTGGCCAGGCTGGTCCTGAACTCCTGACCTCAGGTGATCCACCCTCCTTGGCCTCCCAAAGTGCTGGAATTACAGGTGTGAGCCATGGCACCTGGACAGAGTTTTTTTTCTTGTCTTCATTCTTTCCCTATACCCTGAACCTCACCAATTATCTGCCTTGCCTGTGGATAACATTTTATTCCAATAATGTTCTAGTATATAATTCTGGGGTCAAGGTATCTTGGAAATCTAGCCAACCATAGCTAACTGTCTTCCTTTCTAGCCCCTATCAGCCTCAAAGACATGTCCTCAGTGGGACATCTTCCAGGAAGTACTAAGGAGTGGCTTTGGGAAAATAGGGGGAGATGGTTAGAAAAGCAGGGGCAAAAACTGTCCCCAAGCAAAAAGAATTAAGAGGATTTACAGAGTCTTTTGAAAGTGTGTCAGTGGGATACTTTGTCTTCAAGTAAAGAAGAGCTTCCTGACCCAAGTACTGGAAAGGAAGGGTGAGGGAAGGTGGCAGCACATGAATGAAAGTATTGGCAGGGCTGTAACCTGAATTAATGGAGTAGAATGGCCCATGCAGGCTGGTTTGGTGTAGGCCTTAAACAAAAAATAAAAACTCTACTTCAATAAGAAAATCTTGTTTGGTTGTCCAGGAAGCCCCCCGCAGAATTCAAATTCCTCTGGGAAGTTTTCTGCAGAGCTCATGGGCTTCTCACATTCTCTGGTGCCACCTGGTGGACAACAAGAGGTAATGAGATGGGATCTAGGAAATAGGGCAGTCCAGTTTGAAAGGGAGGCGAGGGAAAGTGAAGCTGGACCAGAGATTAGTGCTGTAGTGGGCAGGCACCGAGGGGATCCAGTGCACCCACAGGAAAATTGGGTTCCTGGTGAGACTGATGGAGTCAAGGAACATAGAATGTTAGAGATAATATACGTGAAGACCCTGGTCTACAGGCCAACTGTGAAAGCATTGAAAGGTAGTGTTTACTACTTACCACATGCCAGACTGTGTTATGAACTTTTTCATGCAATTAAAAAAAATTAATTCTTCCAGCCACTTTGTAGCATCCCCATTTTGCAGACAAATTAAAGTGAGGCTCAGCATTAGTAGCAGAGACAATGTTCAAGCTTTTAATCATTGTGTCATAAATTGTAGTGTTGCCAATAGTAGTGATATGATGTGAAATTAGAGATACGAAGGAGTATCCTTAAGTACTTCAAATCTGAGTCAAGTAGGCTTTGATGCCAGTGGGGGAAAAGGGAAGAAGAAATGTCATATACATCACCATCTCTAACATCTCCACCTTCAAATATGGGGAAACAAAAGTGATCCAGAATTCACCTACCCACTGTGTCAGCCAGTAAGCACATTTTAAGCACCTATTCTATCCAGGGCTTGGTGGGACATAATGGCATTTGACCCAAGGAGTCCTGACATGCCAGCATTACTTGTTTCTCCTTGCCCTCTTCTCCAGGTCTTCTAAAGTCCTCAGGTGGGGAGCATGTTGCTATGTTTTTTAGAAAACACTGTCCCATAGGGAATAAAAGACCCAAAATAAATTCCGTCTATGCTGATTGAGGAATTAGGAAATGTCTTGGCTTAAAAAAAAGGAATAAGAAAACATTGAGCACCTGCTATATGCTAGCTACACCCTACGTTGAGGGCTTGACAAGAAAAGTTTATCTAATCCTCCCAACTTCTGTGAGGCAAGGTTTATAAATATTGCCATTTGAAAATGAGGATAACCAAGGATCAGGGAGATTAGGCAATCTCTCTATAGCTAGATAGCTAATCAGTAGGGGGACTCCGTATGGCCGCAAAACCTATGCTGTTTTAGAATAAAGGGAGGAGGGTATTTACTTTTCTTTTTAGTTGTGGAAAAGTTCAGTCATGAAAAATAGAAGTAATAGCATAATGAAATCCCTTTTGCCCATCATCTAGTTTCAATTACTGTTAGCACAAACATAGTCAACCTTATTTCATCTGTACTCCCATCTACCCCCTCCCACAAAACTGGATTGTTATAAGAAAATTTCTTTTTTTGAACACTTTTACACGGTTGGTGGGAGTGTAAATTAGTTCAAACATTGTGGAAGACAGTGTGGCAATTCCTCAAGGAACTAGAAATAGAAATTCCATTTGACCCAGCAATCCTATTACTGGGTATATATCCAAAGGATTATAAATCATTCTACTATAAGGACACATGCACACGAATGTTCATTGCAGCACAGTTTACAATAGCAAAGACCTGGAACCAACCCAAATGCCCACCGATGATAGACTGGACAGGGAAAATGTGGCACATATACACCATGGAATATTATGCAGCCATCAAAAACGATGAGTTCGTGTCCTTTGTAGGGACATGGATCAACCTGGAAACCATCATTCTCAGCAAACTGACACAAGAGCAGAATATCAAACACCGCATGTTCTCACTCATGGGTGGGTGTTGAACAATGAGAACACATGGACACAGGGAGGGGAGCACTACACACTGGGGTCTGTTGGGGGGAAATAGGGGAGGGACAGTGGAGGGTGGGGAGTTGGGGAGAGATAGCATGGGGAGAAATGCCAGATATAGGTGAAGGGGAGGAAGGCAGCAAATCACACTGCAACATGTGTACCTATGCAACAATCTTGCATGTTCTTCACATGTACCCCAAAACCTAAAATGCAATTAAAAAAAAAAGAAAATTCCTTTTTTAAAAAAATTATTTATTTTACTTTAGGTGAATACTATATCTGGCATTTCTCCCCATGTTATCCCTCCCCACCCTCCTTCCCTCCCCACCCCCACTGTCTCTCCCCTACCCCCTCAACTGCCCCCATTCCACACATCATTTTATTTTATCCACAAAATTTTCACCTGCATCTCTAAAATACGTGGACTTTTAACAAAGCATGACTACAGTACTGTTATCACACCTGTAAAATTAATATTAATTATTTCATATGATCAAATACACATTTTGTGTTTAAATTCCTCCTATCATCTCATGTCTTTTCTCATTGTATTAGTCTGTTTTCACACTGCTGATAAAGACATACCTGAGACTGGGCAATTTACAAAAGAAAGAGGTTTAATTGGACTTACAGTTCCATGTGGCTGGAGAAGCCTCACAATCATGGAAGAAGGCAGGAAGGAGCAAGTCACGTCTTATTTGGATGGTAGCAGGCGAAGAGAGAAAGCTTATGCAGAACTCCTCTTTTAAAAACCATCAGATCTCGTGAGACTTATTCACTATCATGAGAATAGCATGGAAAAGACTTGCCCCCATGATTCAATTACCTTTAATGGGGCCCCTCCCACATGGAAATTCAAAATGAGATTTGGGTGGGGACACAGCCAAACCATATCATTCCACCCCTGGCCACTCCCAAATCTCACATCATCACATTTTAAAATCAATCATGCCTTCCCAACAGTCCCCCAAAGTCTTAACTCATTTCAGCATTAACTCAGAAGTCCACAGTCAAAAGTCTCTTCTGAGACAAGGCAAGTCCCTTCCACCTATGGGCCTACAAAATCAAAAGCAGGAAAGCAGGTTACTTACTTCCTAGATGCAGTGGAGGTATAGGCATTGGGTAAATACAGCCATTCCAAATGGGAGAAATTGGCCAAAACAAAGGGGCTACAGGTCACACGCAAGTCCAAAATCCAGCAGGGCAGTCAAATCTTAAAGCTCCAAAATGATCTCCTTTGATTTGGTGTCTTGTGTCCAGGTCACACTGATGCAAGAGGTGGGTTCCCATGGTCTTGGGCAGCTCTGCCCCTGTGGCTTTTCAGGGTACAGCCTCCTTCCTGGCTGCTTTCATGGACTGGCACTAAGTGTCTGCAGCTTTTCTAGGCTCATAGTATGAGCTGTCAGTGTATCTACCATTCTGGGTTCTGGAGGATGGTGACCCTCTTCTTACAGGTCCACTAGACAGTGCCCCAGTAGAAACTCTGTGTGGGAGCTCTAACTCCACATTTCCCTTCTGCACAGCCCTAGCAGAGGTTCTTCATGAGAGCCCTGTCCCTGCAGCAAACTTCTGCCTGGACATCCAGGTATTTCCATATATCTTCTGAAATCTAGGTAGAGGTTCCCAAACCTCTGTTCTTGACCTCTGTGGACTGGCAGGCTCACCACCACATGGAAGTTGCCAAGGCTTGAGGCTTCCACCCTCTAACGCCATGGCCTGAGCTCTATGTTGGCCCTTTTTAGCCATGGCTGGAGTGTCTGGGACACAGGACACCAAGTCCCTAGGCTGCATACAGTACAGGGACCCTGGATCTGGCCCACAAAACCACATTTTCCTTCTAGGCTCTAGGCCTATGATGGGAGAGGCTGCCGTTAAGCCCTCTGACGTGCCCTGGAGACATATTCCTCATTGTCTTGGGGATTAGCCTTCAGCTCCTCATTAGTTATGCAAATTTCTGCAGCTGGCTGGAATTTCTCCTCAGAAAATGGGATTTTCCTTTCTATCACATTGTCAGGCTGCAAATTTTCCAAACTTTTATGCTCTACTTCCCTTATAAAACTGAATGTTTTTAACGGTACCCAAGTGGCATCTTGGATACTTTGCTGCTCAGAAATTTCTTTTGCCAGATACCCTAAGTCATCTCTCTCAAGTTCAAAGTTCCACAAATCTCTAGGGTAGCAGCAAAATGCCACCAG